GCAGGCTCAAACCCAGAACCTCAACCAATGGCTGATACCAAATGAGTGACTCCCCCCTGGGCACACAGAAAACTGGGCAACTTGGATGGTGCTGAACAGACTGCGCTCCGGCACCACGAGATGCAGAGCCAACCTTCAGAAATGGGGCCACAAAGTGGAATCCTCGACATGCGAGTACGGAGAGGAGCAAACCATTGACCACCTGCTGCAATGCAACCTGAGCCCCGCCACATGCAAAATGGAGGACCTTCTTGCAGCAACATCAGAAGCACTCCAAGTGGCCAGATACTGGTCAAAGGACATTTAATCAACTACCAAACTCACAAATTTTGTTTTCTGTGTTTTGTATTTTTGTATTTTGTCTGTTTGTTTGCTTTGTTCTGTTAGAAATGTAATATAATTGACTGGTTGCTAATGACTCAATAAATAAATAAATAAATAATCTTTGGCGACCCCTCTGAAACCTTCCTCATGACCCCCTCCCAGGGGTCCTGACCCCCAGGTTGAGAAACACTTCTCTATAGGATACTTCCATAAGAGAACTCCTCTTGGAACACTTGCCTTCCTTTGTCTTAGCTCAGCCATTTCACCAACAAGGACCAAACTATTTTGCACTGACTAAACCCACAATTCATTGCATTCCTTCCAGTGTTGAGCTTGGAGGGAAGGGAGATTGCTTTGCGTTGCACTGCATCTCCCAGACTGGGTGAGTTGGGTTGAGTTTGTCTTCCCGATCCCTCATAGCTGCTCAGAAGTAAGCGACAGCTGTACCCAGTTCCCTGAAGCCATGCGCTATCCGTCAGAGCCTTCGCTCACTCAAATCTAGCCTGGCAGGTGCCAGCCGGCAATGAAGGGGGGAAAGAAGGGAGAAGGCATATTACTTTATTTGCTGTCAGCACATCAAATGAGCGAAAGAACAGATGGACAACCTGCCAATTCATTATGCGCCACGGAGATGGAGCAAGGATAAGAAGGCGGGAAGGCGGGGTATATCTGAGACTCCATCTTCAATAAGCTTGACTCGTCGAAGCCTTCAAGGACTCACCCGGCATGACAAAGACCTTTTCCTTAACTAGCGCTTGAGGGCCTTCTCATCATCTGATGCCACCCCGGGTCCCATTATCTTACCGAACCGATGGATGAGCGTGGGATGGAATAGCAAAGACTTCGTAGAGATGAAATGAAAAGGAAGCCAGTTTCATGACATGAGTTCAGGATCAGACATGACGTCTACAGGAGAAGCAAATAAAGGAACAGGATCTTCATAGGAAGTGAGGAACATCATAGAATCATAGAATCAAAGAGTTGGAGGAGACCTCATGGGCCATCCAGTCCAACCCCATTCTGCCAAGAAGCAGGAATATTGCATTCAAATCACCCCTGAGAGATGGCCATCCACTCTCTGTTTAAAAGCTTCCAAAGAAGGAGCCTCCACCACACTCCGGGGCAGAGAGTTCCACTGCTGAACGGCTCTCACAGTCAGGAAGTTCTTCCTCATGTTCAGATGGAATCTCCTCTCTTGACCCCTCTGACACTCCCTTGTGACCCCTCCAGGGGTTGTGACCCCCAGGTTGAGAACCACAGGTATAGGGATTTATAGGTAAAAGCCAACACTTTGAATTGTGCTCGGAAGCTAATTGGGCCAAACTCCCCACACTGATGGTCTTTGGTGATCCCTCTGACACCCCCTCGCAACCATAGAATCATAGAATCAGAGTTGGAAGAGACCTCATGGGCCATCCAGTGCAACCCCATTCTGCCAAGAAGCATTCAAATCACCCCTGACAGATGGCCATCCAGCCTCTGTTTAAAAGCTTCCAAAGAAGGAGCCTCCACCACAGAGATTCCACTGCTGAACGGCTCTCACAGTCAGGAAGTTCTTCCTTCTGTTCAGATGGAATCTCCTCTCTTGTAGTTTGAAGCCATTGTTCCATTGCGTCCTAGTCTCCAAGGAAGCAGAAAACAAGCTTGCTCCCTCCTCCCTGTGGCTTCCTCTCACATATTCTACATGGCTATCATATCTCCTCTCAGCCTTCTCTTCTTCAGGCTAAACATGCCCAGCTCCTTAAGCCGCTCCTCATAGGGCTTGTTCTCCAGACCCTTGATCATTTTAGTCGCCCTCCTCTGGACACATTCCAGCTTAGAGTCAACATCTCCCTTCAATTGGTGCCCAGAATTGGACACAATATTCCAGGTGTGGTCTAACCAAAGCGGAATAGAGGGGTCGCATGACTTCCTAAGATCTAGACACTATGCTCCTATTGATGCTGGCCAAAATCCCATTGGCCTTTTTTGCCACCACATCACATTGTTGGCTCATGTTTAACTTGTTCCCACGAGGACTCCAAGATCTTTTTCACACGTACTGCTCTCGAGCCAGGCATTGTCCCCCATTCTGTATCTTTGCATTTCGTTTTCCTGCCAAAGTGGAGTATCTTGCATTTGTCACTGTTGAACTTCATTTTGTTAGTTTTGGCCATTCATCTCTCTAATCTGTCAAGATCATTTTGAATCCTGCTCAATGAAATGATGAAATGAAAAGGAAGCCGGTTTCATGACATGAGTTCAGGATCAGACATGGCATCTACAGGAGAAGCAAATAAAGGAACAGGATCTTCATAGGAAGTGAGGAACATCATTACAGAGGTATCTCCTCTTCAACCTCCTCAGAACCAGTCCAGTTCTAAACACACAGATAGTCCTATTTAAAGTCTACCAAAGTTGGACTACAACTTCCTGAACCTCAGGATGTTCATGTTTGGTTTTTCTTAGTGATCTTCAGTCTATCTGGTTGAAATCATTCTCCTGTTTCAACTCACCTTCTCAATTCAATCTTCTAACTTCCTTTTAGATCTTTGAGTCCCCTTTGGGAGATATAAAGCTGGGTATTAATAATACTCAGAGGCGGCCCTAGGTAATTTTCAATGGTAAGCAAACAGTATTTTGGCGCCCCCCCCTCCCCCAAAACCAATCACTATCTATTAGGGCTGGGCGGTTTCGTTTCGTTAATTCGTAATTCGTTAATAATTCGTTAATTTTTTCAATTACAAAACGATAACGAACCATTCTGGAGCAATTATTAAAAAAACGAATTTTCAAAAACGTTTTGTAAATGCTTCGTATTTCGATATTGTATTCGTTTCGTTATTGTTTTGAGGTCGTTTCGTTATTATTTCCGCATGTCTGGGCCAGTTTTATGGTTTAATTAGTGAAAAAAAATTATAATATCACACCAACAGTCAACAACAGAGGGAGAGGGAAGCTTCAGAAGGTTTTGGAGGTTTTTTAGCGTATTTCGCGGTCGCGTCCGCCATTAACGAATCGATTCGTTGTTGTTTCGGAAATCGATTCGTTAATTTTTTTACCATTTACGAAATTTCGTAAATATCGAACTTTTTTTAAGGAAAATTTTGTAATTATTTTAAATAACGAAACGCAAAAAAACCCAAAAAACGAATCGATTTTAGAAACAAATTTTTCCGTTGTTACCCAGGCCTACAGTATCTATCTATCTATCTATCTATCTATCTATCTATCTATCTATCTATCTATGGGGGCATGGACAAATTTTGGCCCTCCAGGTATTTAGGACTTCCTACTGGCTGTTTGGAATTGTGGGAATTGAAGTCCAAAACACATGGAGGGCTGAAGTTGGCCCATGCCAGCCATACATACACACACACACACACTAGCCATCCCCTGCCACGCGTTGCTGTGATCCAGTCTAGTGATCTTGAAAAGAAAGTAATAAGAAAGTTGGTTTCTAATATATGTAATTTCTTAATGCTTGTGGGTAAATAGTATTTCTTGTTGTTTCTTTGTCAGTGTTGATGTAGTTCCAACACAAAATACTGAAGGGATTTGGGGAAAATAGACTCTGATACTGGAGGGGTTTTGGGGAAACATGTACAATAATTTAGATTTGCAGTACCTTCAGTCACTTCCGTTCATGAAGAAACCTCCTTGCCGCCCTGAGAGGGGTGATGGCACAGCTGCCTGGAGAGGCACTTGCAATGCTGCCCCTCTTCACACAGGAGAAGAGGCCCTGTGCTCCATCGGCTCCTGGGTATGCGCTTTGCATTCTCTTCCCCCACACGCTTTGCAACTCCGGGAGAGGGACACGCGCCGGCATTACCAGGCGCACGGAAAAAGAGCCCTCATGCAGGGAGCATGCTCTCCCTCCATCCTTCCCTCACAAGTGCGCACGTTGTCCTCCTCTCCTCCTCCTCCTTGCAGGCCAAGGGAGACAACAACGCCAGTGTGCATCCTTCTCCCAGCGTTAGGAAGTGCATGGAGAAGGAGGGCGATGCAGGGCGCACATTTCCTAATGCCGAGAGAGGGATGCGCAGCGGCATTGCCGGGCACGTGGGAAAAGAGGCCTCGTGCATGCCTCTTTTGTGTTTCATCTTGGGTGCTATCTTTGAAATGTGTCATTGTGTATGTAAACAGCTATCCCATGATCCCAAACATTTTATTTATTTATTTACAGTATTTGTATACCGCTTTTCTCACCCTCAGGAGGACTCAAAGTGATTTACACACTTCTAGTTCAAAGCACTTTGGATCAGGGATACTCAACCTGTATTACATTACAAACTGCTAGACCGGCTGTTAGGTATTGTGGGAGTTGAAGTCCGAAACACCTGGAGGGCTGAAGTTTGCTCTTGCATGTGCTTGACCCAGAAGCAGATGAAGAGCCCTCCTTCCATCCAACTGCCACTGCTTTGGCCTTGGAGAAACAGGTGGCATGTGAAGCCATGGAGCCCTTCCAGACAGGCCCTATGCCGCATTATCACAGGGTGTTTACGCCCTACACCACTGGAAAAATTATACTGCCTAGCCGGTATTGCGCCACCTGACATCCGCCGGGAAGTTGCAGCCAATAGTGAAAGGACCAAGGCAGAGACATCTCCAGCTCATCCCTTGTTTGGGTATCAGCCAGCACGCAACGACTTAAATCTAGAAATAGTTTTCTAAGATCTACAGAGACACTTGCTGGA